TTTGCACTTGGGTCCTTGGAGCCTATGTATGTCTATAAAGTCATCAGGTAGATTTCAATGGTAATGTTCATCACCTCTACTAATTAACATAATGTAAATTTCCATGCTTCCTCCTCAAATATAATACATTTTTTAAAATTTGTTGATTTGTGTGTGTGTGTGTGTGTGTGTGTGTGTGTGTGTGTGTGTGAGTGTGAGTGTGTGTATCACATAGAACATCTCAAACCATCAAAATAGTCTTTTTAAAAGACTATTCTTGCTTTGTAGCCCAGGCTGGTCTGGAACTCACTGTCCTCCTGCCTCAGCCTCCTTAGTGCTAGGATTGCAGTCCTGCACCATACCCAGCTTTGAAAATAGTCTTGACATGTGGAGAGGCATTTCCTTTCCCCTTATTCTTCAGAAGTGTCTTACCCATTCTTGGGTCTATGCTTCCCTCCCTCCCTCCCTTCCTTCCTGTGGTTCTGGGGATTGAACCCAGAGCCTTATGTAGGCTTGGCAAGCATTCTGCCACTGAGCTACATCGCCAGCCCTCTCTATGTAAATTTTTTATTACTTTTTTTATTATTCCAAAGAGGCAATTTTTCACACATTTTTCCAGAAATAACTTGAAGCAGGTTACACAAATATATATATATATATAATGAAGATTAAGGGAGGGGGACTAGGAATAAGAAATCAAAGACCAAAGGATTTGGCAACATGGGTTCAACTTTGGTGGAATAATGAAGGTTTCCATTAGCTCTCTCTTTTTTTTTTGTTTTTTTAAATCCTAACAAGTTTATTGGCCTTGCTAACAGCATAGGATGGGGGTTATTTACAGAAGAGTGGGGACCTACCTATTTACAGCTTCACTGGAAAGTCCACACTCAAATATACATCCTATGACTTCCCGACAGCCACACAAAATGGCAAGAGATGTGCGTGGTGGCATTCTCGGCTTATATACTTAGCCACTCCCCCACATGCAGCTAAGGTCACCTGATTGGGAGGAGTAACCGACTCCCCATCGACTCCTTTTTTGGGGGCTTTGACTCCTTTTTTGGGAGGGGGGGCTTCATTTTAATTTCAGAAAACATTAAAATCTCTTAGAGCATATTGTGCACATTTTAACATCACCATGTAAAGGCAGATGTTGGGAATTATGGAGTAACCTCTGAAATTCATTTGCTTATTTTCAAGTAACATCAATATTTAGCCTTACTTAGTAACTAATAGGATTTTCTTTCTTTTTTTTTCCCTTTACCATAAGCTGTTAATTAGGAAATTCAGAGAGTTTTTTTTGCATTGCAAGGAACTGGCAGTCACATACAAAGATTTAGGGTACAATTAGACAAGTAACAGGACATCCAGCTTTTTAGCAGGCACCAGATGGGGGCTGTATGTAAAGCAGGATGCTTGAACTTTTACTCAAGGTTACCAATGCCTGTCTGGTAATTTATTGGCCACAATGTTTTGTTTTGTTTTTTTTCTTAGGGCTAAAAGCATGGTAAACTTCTAGCTTTTAACCTCAGAGTAAACCTTTAACCCGGCCTAATCTCTTAACTAATGGTAGCTGAGTTATTTGTTCAGGACAGGGAGGTGGGATAAGGGCTGTTGACCAAAATGCTTTCCCTCAGAGCAAGAAGATTAAACTTTTGACTCAGCTGTTTTTCTCTTGCTAGCCCTGCCATGTTCTGCAAGACAGGGATAGCAGAGTTGCTGTTTTCAGCACCCCTCCCTGCAGCAGAGAACGTAGCCTGGACTTAAAAGTTTTAGGCTCATCTCGCCCTAGGGCGTGCCATTCTGGTTTCCTACATCTCCTCCCCCCCTTTTTTTAAATTTATTGAGAATTTCATACATGCATATAAAGTGTTTTGATCAAATCCATGCCCACTCCCTCCCCTCTAACTCTTCCCGTATCTCCCCATCACTTTTTTTCTGATACATACACTCTTCTTTTTTTTTTGGTCTTTTTGAGACAGGGTTTCCCTGTAGCCCCAGCTGTCCTGGAGCTCACTATGTAGACCAGGCTGGCCTTGAACTCACAGAGATCTGCCTGCCTCTGCCTCCCGAGTGCTGGGATTAAAGACGTACGCCACCATGCCCAGGATCTTTTTTTTTTTTTTAAATGGGGCTCTTTGCTACTCTAACATTACCCCCCTATGACAAGATAACCCTAAAATCTTTTAAGGATTAGATAAAACCTCCCAAATACTTTAGACATTTTTGGGTTTTGGAATGGAGTATGTTGCTAAGAGGCCCAAGGACATTTTGTCTTTTAGCTAAGAAACTGGCTACTTTTCTTTGGGGTCTTTTTACCCTAACTGCCTAGCCAATTCCTACCTCCTATTATCACACCATCCTCTGAAGGGGTTACCTGCCAATAGGGAATCAGGATGCAGACTGCTCTGGTTTCTTTAGTGCTGAACAGGGACACAGAGTGAGGCAATTAGGGTACCCCTTCAGTGGGTCTATCTAAAGGACTCCCAAATTGCGTAACTCTTATATGTAGGGGGAAAAGAGAGTTCTTGACTGGTGAATAGGAGATGTGAAGGAGAAGTAAAGGCAAGAGTAATTAGTATTACAAGTTCTAGACAGGGAACTAGAAAAACGTCAGAACAAAAATTTTCAAATGCTCATATGAGAGTCCATTGGAACTCTTGATGAGCATGGAATGGAGGTGCAACTATGGCTTGCCCAAATAGTGGTTGGAGGGCACTTCCAGTTAACACTCTACCCCTTCTTCTGGCTCTTACATTCTTTCCACCAACCTCTTCCACAAAAATCCCTGAGCCTTGGAGGGGGTGATAGTTGTGGGTGATCATCCTCCCATTGTGACAAGGCACTGAACTTTCTTCAGGTTTCTGCATCATCTGTTTTCCACTGACGCGGAGACCCAAAAATTCAGTCTCTATGTAAATTTTAAAATTGGCTTGTAACATTAAAAAAAAGAAGTCATTGGGGATTGATTTTATGACCCAGTGGTAGAACACTGGTTTGATATTGCCCAGGACCTAGGTTCAATCCCCTGAATATCAAAAGTTTTATTTTTGCCTGGTGGACACCTTTAATGCACACCTTTAATCCCAGCACTTGAGAGGCAGGGGCAAGTGGATTGCTCTAAATTCAAGGACAGCCTAGTCTACATAATGAGTTCCAGGCTAGCTGGGGCTACAGGGAGACTCTGTCTCAAAAGACAACAATGACAAAAAAGTTTTGTTAAATTATTCAGTAATTTATTGATTGGTTGATTTGTGTGTGTGTGTGTGTGTGTGTGTGTGTGTGTGTGTGTGTGTGTGTGTGTGTGACCATTCCGCCTGATCTCAAAATCAAAATCACTTATGTGGTCCTGGCTGTCCTTACCTCCCTGATCCTCCTCAGTACTGAGATTACAGGGGTGCACTACCATCTCTAGTCTTTTGTATTTTGTTTTTGAGACAGGGTCTCACTATATGGCCTGGTCTGGCCTGGAACACACTATATAGAACAGGCTGACCTCCATCTCACAGAGATCTGTCTACTTCTGCCTCCCTAGTGTTGGCAACTACAGGCAGTGCCCCCATACCCAGCTCATCTCCAGCTACAAAAAAAATATATAAAAAATAAAAATAAGGGGCTGGAGAGATGGCTTAGTGGTTAAGAGCACTGACTGCTCTTGCAGAGGACCCGGGTTCAATTCCAAGTACCCACATGGCAGCTATGAAGCATCCTTAACTCCAGTTCCAGGGGAATCCGAAGCCCTCTTCTGACCTCTGTGGCATTGCACAACACGGGTGCACTCACATACATGCAGGCAATACACTCGTACACATAAAATAAAAATAATAAATAAAAAAATTAAAAAAAATAAAAATAAAAAATTTTAAAAGCAGAATTGGAGTTTTAAAAATTTTTAATATTTAAAAGTATTTTTAATTTTTGGGGGGGGTCTTTTTGAGACAGGGTCTCCCTGTAGCCCCAGCTGGCCTGTAACTCACTATGTAGACCAGGCTGGCTTTGAACTTAGAGAGACTTGCCTGCCTCTGCCTCCCAAGTGCTGGGATTAAAGCCATGCACTACCATAACCCAACATATTTTTAATTATTTATGTGTGTGTGTGTGTGTGTGTGTGTGTGTGTGTGTGTATGTGTGTAAGTGTGTAAGTATTTACAGAGGCCCAAAGAGGGTATGGGATCCCCTGGAGATACAGGTGGATGTGAGTTGCCAATATGGGTGCTAGGAACCAAACTGGGTTCTCTGCAAGAGCAGTAAGCACACTTGACCACTGAGTCATCGTTCTAATCCTACAATTTACAATTATTGAGGCTACATAGTGAGACCCCGTCTCAAAAAATTATTGGGGCTCAGGTTAGAGTGCCTGCCTAGCATATTTGATCTTCAGTCCTGCATAAAATGAGGCATGAAATGGGGAGAGGAAAGAGGAAAGAAGTGGGGAAAGGGGGAAAGGACTAAAGGAAAGGAAGGCCGAAGAGATGGCTGAGGTTAAAGTACTTGCCACTCAGCTGTGAGGACTGGAGTCCTGATCCCCAGAAACCCATGTACATGCCTGGTGGGCATGGTGGCCTCTGCCTGCCTGTGATTCCAGTTTCGAAAGGCAGGGACATAGGATTCCCAGAGTAAGACTAGTCTTATTGACCAGCTCTGAGTTTGAGAGTGCCTCAGTGAATAAAGTGGAAGAGCAATTGAGGACAATTCCCAACATCAACCTCAGGCCTCCATATGCATGCACACACATGTATGTGCATCTACACACATGCAAAAAGTGTACTCACATGTACACCTCACTCGAAAAATGGGGGTGGGGAGGGAAAAATAAAACAGAACAAGTGATTGGCTCTCAGACCTGGTGGTGAGTGCCTGCACTCCAGCATTCAGGAGGCAGCAACCCTCGTCTCTGCTTCCTGAGTGCTGGGATTGGGAGTGTGTACTGCCATGCCCAGCCCAGATTTATAGTTTTTTCATAGTATTTCGTACTTTTGTACTATTATAAATTTTATCTTTTGTTTGTTTTGAGATAGGATTTCACTAAATAGCTCAAACTGACCTAGAACTGTTTAAAACTCACCCAGGTTTGCAATAATCTTTCTACCTTTGCCTCCCAAGTTAAATATTAGCTTTAGAAAATTAAGACAGGTGTGAAGGCACATGCCTGTAATCCATTTACTACATTTATTTGTGTGTGTGCATGTGCATGTAGATGTGCCATGGCTCGTGTTGTGGTTAGAGGACAACTTTCAGGAGGTAGTTCTCGCTTTCCATCTTGTTAGTCCCAAGGATCCAACTTAGGCAACAGGCTTGACAGAAAATGCCTTTCCTCTCAGAGCCATCTCATCAGCCTGGAAATTATTTTTTTTAATTTATTTTTATTTTATGTGTATGAGTGTATTGCCTTCATGTATGTAAATGCACCTGTCTTGTGCAATGCCCAAGGAGGTCAGAAGAGGGTATCGGGATCCCCTGGAACCAGAGTTACAGACGGCTGTTAGCTACCATGTGGGTGGCTGGGATTCAAACCCAGGCCTTTTTTTTTGGCTCTTTTTGAGACAGGGTCTCTCTGTAGCCCCAGCTGTCCTGAAACTCACTTTGTAGACCAGGCTGGCCTTGAACTCATAGAGATCTGCCTGCCTCTGCCTCCCAAGTGCTGGGATTAAAGGCCTGTGCCACCACGCCCAGTGTCCTCTGCCTCCCAAGTGCTGGGATTAAAGGCCTGTGCCACCATGCCCAGTGTCAAACCCAGCTCTTTTTGCAAGAACAGCCACTGGTCTTAACTGCTGAACCATCTCTCCAGCCCAGAAATTAATTTTCTAATGGTATACTGGCTTATGTCAACAAGAATGAGTTTTATTATTTTATTTTATTTTTGAGACAGTCTCAATATGTAGTCCTGGTTGACATGGAACTTGCTACATAGACCAGGCTGGTCCCAAATTCACAATGATCTGCCTGCCACTACTGCCTCCTGAGTGCTAGGATTAAAGGCATGTATGCCCTGTAAGTTTTTATTTTCAATTATTTGTTTATTTTATTTATTTGTTTGTTTATTTATTTATTTATTTATTTATTTAGTGATCTTTTTGAGACAGGGTCTCCTTGCAGCCCCAGGTGGCCTGGAACTCACTATGGAGACCAGGCTGGCATTGAGCTCACAGAGATTTGCCTGCCTCTGCCTCCCGAGTGCTGGGACTACAGGCCTGTGCCACCAGGCCCAGTTTTGTTTATTATTTTTGTGGGGGCTTTTTGCAGGGTTTTTGTTTGTTTGTTTGTTTGTTTTTTGGTGTGTGTGGCCTTTTTGAATTGGTCTCCCTGTAGCCCCAGCTATTCTGGAACAGGAGTTACAGACAGTTGTTACCTGCCATGTGGGTGCTGGGATTTGAACCTGGGTCTTATGCAAGAACAGCCAATGTTCTTAATCTCTGAGCCATGTCTCCAGCCCCCAGGCTGCAGTTTCTTACAGTATTTATAGACAATATGGTGTCATTATAGACCCATTCTGTCATTGGTGGGTTTGAATTCCTGTCTACATGACTATAGACTAGACACAGGGGTCAAAAGGGCCTTCTAGCCTTCGTGACAAGAGACCATAAACTGCAGCTTTGGGCAGGAAACATTTACAGAAGCAGAAAAAAAGATTAAACAAGCAACCAGTTTTTTAGGCAAGCAGGGTCTGTTTCTTTTCTTTCCTTTTTTTTTTTTTTTTTTTTTTCATCTTTTTGAGACAGGGTCTCCCTGTAGCCCCAGCTGTCCTGGAACTCACTATGTAGACCAGGCTGGCCTCAAACTCACAAAGATCTGCCTGTCTCTGCCTCCCGAGTGCTGGGATTAAAGTCGAGCACCACCATGCCCAGCTTATTATTTTATGCGTATGAGTGAGGGTGGCCTGCATGTGAGTGTACCCATATGGTACGATGCCACAGAGGTCAGAAGAGGGCTTTGGATTCTCCTGGCACTGGAATTAAAGACGGTTTGTAGCCGCCATGTGGGTGCTGGGAATCGAACCTGGGTCCTCTGCAAGAGCAGTCAGTTCTCTTAACCGCTGAGCCATCTCTCCAGCTCTAGGCTTTTTGAGGCAGTCTTGTTATGCAGTCCACCTGCTTTGAGCTTGCAATACTACTGCCTTTGCCACTCCACTGTAGCCGGCTTAACACTGATTTTAATTCTAGCCGCTTTGTTCAACATTATTAACAATCTTTGATTACTGATTTGTTGAAAACAGACCTTCATTTTGTAAGATTCAGTATCTTTAGGAAAAAATGCCTTTGGCATCAGTACTTGGCTCCCACTCTAGTATCTCCTTCACTTGGGTTTGGCTTTCTTAACAGCTCTTACAGCCACTGGGGTTTTTCTGCCTTTTAAGCCCCCTTTTTTTTTTTAAAACAAACAAACAAAAAAAACAACTTTTTTTTGGTCTTTTTGAGACAGGGTCTCCCTGTAGTCCAGCTGTCCTGGAACTCACTATGTAGACCAGGCTGGCCTTGAACTCACAGAGATCCACCTGCCTCTGCCTCCTGAATGCTGGGATTAAAGGCATGCACCACCACGCCCAGCTCGAAAAATTATTTTTATTTAATGTGTGAGTGTATTGCCTGCATGTAAGTGTACCCATGTCGTGCAGTGTCCTTGGAGGACAGAAGAGAGGATGGATCCCCAGAACCAGAGTTACAGACAGTTACTAGTTATTATGTGGGTGTTGGGATTTGAACCCAGACCCTCTGCAAGAGCAGTTAGTGCTCTTAACTGCTGAGCCATCTCTCCAGCTCCTCAAGTCTTTTCTTATTCCATTAGAAACACACTGTGGTGTTTCTGAAGTCTCTTTACTCTTGTTTCCTCTCTACTCTTGTTTCCTCTCTTGTCGTTAGAAACACACTGTGGTGTTTCTGAAGTCTCTTTACTCTTGTTTCCTCTCTTGTCAAATGGGACTATTTAGTCGCTGTTCAAATAAACTGGAATGTGAGAGGTCTTTGAAAAATGGGCTGTGCCATTGTAAAGGCTTTGTGATAGACAGTGGTAATAAAGTTGTAGTGGTTTGAGCAGTCGGGATTTTAATCCTGACATCAGCACTGGAGATGTGGGGCCAGCCTATAAGCAGCCTGAACTAAATCACTTCTTAGCTCAAAGAAGAACTTTACCAAATTCTGCTATTCAGCAGCGTGTTTGGAAAAGTAGCCCTCAGTACATGATGAATGGCTCCTTTGGAGAAAGAGATGATTTGATCTCGGATACCTTAGAAAAAGAGACATTTCTATGTGAGTAATAATCAGTGTAAGTTACACCTCCTCCATCTCACCTACCCCCACCCAGAACCTTACTCCCTTGACAACTCCAGGAACACAGAACAGGACCTAATGTGAGAGGCCAAGGAGCCAGCCTTGGCTCCTGTTTTTGCTTTATTTTGTGTGGTTTGTTTGCTTTGTTTGGGGATTATTTGTTTGATTTGTTTTATATATATGGTACAGATGTCTTCTCAAATCCAAGAGACGGAATGGAGTAGAGTTTCTCCCTCAGTATCTATGCAAACATCAGTTCACTACTGTTTTCTTGGCATCCTCTCTCCCAACATCAGCCCCCACCCCCAGTTCAGGCTGCCATGCTTAGCTTCCTAATTGGCCTCCGTCCTAATTGGCCTCCCAGAGACGAGAGAGAGAGAGAGAGAGAGAGAGAGAGAGAGAGAGAGAGAGAGAGAGAGAGAATGTGGGCTGCTCTTGTAAAGCTCAGAGGACAACTTGTGGAAGTTGGTTCTCTTTTTCCACCATGGGTGTTCTAGGAATCAAGCTCCTGTCATTAGGTCCTTACCCACTGAACCATCTCACGAACCCCCACCACACTGGGCTCTAGATCTACTTAGGTTGTAGGTTTAAGTTAAAATTCTGTACATTGAGACATTTTCACATGCACTTCTAATCTCTATATACATGACTATCACTGGTCACAGCCGCCCACCTTCTGAGCTCCTCGGCATCTGAGCATGAATACAAACTCGTCAGATAGACAGCCTTCCTCTCCCACTAGAGGCTCCATACTCTGCCATCCCTGTCACTGTCCACTGTGTTGTCAGCACCCTCATCCATTCCCCCCTGTCTGCCCTTCCAGCAAATCTAGTCAGCCAGAGGTCCCTGTTCCAGGAGGGTCAGCTGTTCCTCATCTACGGCAATACATTGTCAGGATTCCTTTGGATGGAATTGGGGTCTGCTGTTCATTTTTCATGTAGTATGTTGGGTTACTGTCTGGAAGAGCCTTTATCTATCCTGGCCAACAACTCGAATGAAGGTATCGCCTGTCTGGCTTTGCTGTTTGATAAGTAGCTTTTAGTTATATATATGTATGCTCTTATGAAATTATATGGGTCCCTTTAATCTTTGCTTAAACATCCCTTTTGGGTGTTTAAGGACATACAATTGGACCAGATAAACTGATTTGTTTTCACTCTTGAGGTC